AGCTGAGCAGAGCAGGGCTCCTCTGTCCCACAGCCTGACCTGACAGCAGCAGCCACAGCTGCAGAGGGGAGGAACGGGCAGGAACCCAGAGCCACACAACCTGTCAGGGGGCAGCTTCCCCCAGCTCCTGTCGCTAAAATCCAGGTTTATGAGATGGAGCAAAGGGATTTACATCATTTACAGCACCTGCCCTGTACCCCACCATGTTGCTGGCCATGGTTTGTCCAGGGAAGTGCTTGGGAGAGTATTTTATAATTTGTTTGAAATGACAATTTTCTTAAGCTGTACTTCAGTTTTACAGGTTGTTTCTCTGGACTTGTTCACGGATGTGGTTTCTTGTGTTATTCCTGAACTTCTTCCAAATATCTACAGGCAAAAAAAGAGATTTGAACTTCTTTGGATTCTCAGCTCGTGAGGAACCAAAGGGACATCCAGTCCTTTTGGGTGTTTGCCCAATTCAGGCTGCTGTAGGAAGGAAATTCTAACCTAAGAATTAAAGACACGCTAATGACTCAACACCTAATGAAGGAGAAAAAAGAGTTAAGCATTTTTCAAGCAGTGTACCTACCTCGTGTCCCCACCCCAAATGCCCCCAGCCCCCCTTGTAAATTTTTACCACTTTAAACCACTTCTCTCTTTAAGTGCATGGGCAAGTCCCTTAAAGAGGAAGCCCGTCCCTACCCAGAGCCAGCAGCTCAGAGTCAGCACAGGCACTCTGGAGTTTTAAAAGCTCCATCACTTCCATTAATCCTTAGGTCCCAGCTCCAGAAATCTTTCCAGGAAGGTGCAGCTCTGCAGTGTCTCCTCTCCATGGATTTCCATGTTTTTCCCTGTTCAGGACCTGACTCACAGGCCCTGTCACTGCAGGATCTGAGCCACCAGCCCATCGCCCTCATCACACCTCAGGGGCAGAGCTGGACAGATAAATCCAACCAGAAGGAGTTCTGGGAATCTGTTTCACGTGGATTTTGGGTCAGTTTAATAACAAACACTCCGAGGTGAAGGTGACACAGCAACTCCTCTTTGCCAGCACGGAGACTGGGCTGGGACATGAGAGCTGGAAGGCACTGGAGTGGAAATCCAGACACTGGCAGTGCCCACAACCCCCAAAACATTCCCCTTTGCTTTCCCCCCTCCTCCAAAGAAAGCACTGACATTCCTGTCTTACTGAGATCTGCAGAAACCAAGCAGCAAGAACAGGAGGTCAGGACCTGCTGGAAGGAATCAGCTTTATCCTCCTGGAGAGAAAGCAGAGCTGGAGAAGCTGCCCAGCACAGCTGTGCCACAGCTGGAGGGAGGGAGCACCCTGTGCTGCTGGTTCAACTTCCTCAGCACTTTCCCCAGCTCAGTACAAGGGCCTTGGGGTCCTGCTGAATGCCATGGGATGAACAGCTACAAACCAGGAAAACCTCCCCCACAACTGACCCCAGCTGCCCATTATTCCAAAAGTTACAACAAATTCAATCCAGCCCCAGCCACCTGTTCAGGTGTGGAAGAGGCTGCTGATCCCACTGACCTGTGTCTGTTCTTGTTCTTCCTCTTTTTGTGGCTGCTGTGGTGGCTCCCGGAGGAGGTGGAGGAAGCAGCTTTCTGGGGCTTCACCCCCTGCACGGAGCCATCCAGCTCTTCAGCATCCTCCTGACTGGGCTCATTCTCCTGGTTGTGGAAGTCTGGAGAAGTGTCACTCTCTGTGCCACTGCCTGGCTCCCCTAGAGCAGGGACAAACCCAGGGTGAGCTTCTGGCTGCCCTGGCACAGCCCTGAGTGGGAGAAACAACCCCAGAACAGCAGCAGGGACACCTGAGCCCTGCAGCACTGGGAGGGGAATCACACAACCTGGGAAACATCTCCACAGGACAGAGAGGGAACTTGAGGCTCTCTGGAACCACATCCCATTTGGTGCTGATCACAGAAACATTTTTAAATATCCTGGAGGGAAGTGGCCCCTCTCCAAGTCCCTCATGACTGACACACCTACAGTGATGAGGTGTTCCAGCTCTTCCAGCCTCTTCCTCCGAAAAGCAAAAACCCACTTCAATTCATTTTCTGCACAACAAACCCCTGCTGAGCGTGGAAGGTACTCAGGAAATTGTTCCTCAGAGCACCCAGTGGAGTGGCCGGGAGCAGCCCAAGGGCAGCATCCACATGGCCTGGGACAGGAGCCCCGAGTCCAGCCCAGATCTGGAGAGCTGAAACAGGGCTGAGCGGTGGGGAGAGTGAAATCCTTCCCAAATTCCCAGAGAAATGACAAAGTGACTTACGCTTCTCAATGAGCTGGTCCTGGACTCCAGCTAAAGCACTGACAGCCTGGAAAACCGAAAGGGATGTCAAGGCAAGCAGGGATTCACTTCCCAGTGCTCAGAGCACAGAGCTCAGCTCACACAGACACGTCCCTCAGAAGTGCCCGTGGCCCTGCATGGCACAGAGGGTGTGGAGCAGGGACAGCAGTGACACCAGAGACAGGGGCCCGGGGTTCTGACTGCCCTCCCACTCCCTGGGCATCCGGGAAAGGGGCTCTGGAAGGGGCTGTGGGGTGGGATAGAGGTGCTCAGGTCAGGGAGACAGGGCAGGTGCAAGAGTTCCAATGGAAAAGTGGCTCTGCAGCAGCGCAGGGGAGTGTGGCAGGACCGGGATGGGGATGGGGACAGGGAAGGAAACAGGGATTAAAACAGGAAAGGGGACGAAGATGGGGATTAGGACATAAATGGGGATAAGGACGGGGGCGGGGATGGGGACAGGGACGGTCATGGGGTCAGGAGCATCCGCTCGTCCTGCCGGTGCCCATCCCGGCACTCACCGCTGCCGAGGTGACCGAGGACTTGCTGAAGAGCCTCTCGGCCTCCTTGAACTTGCGGTTCCTGCGGTCGTTTTTGCTGTTGGAGTTCCTGAAACAGAGACAGGCGGGATGGCGGGGCCGGGCCGGCGGGGGGGGCCGGGCGGGCGGGCAGAGCCTCCGCCACTCACTTCTGGTTGGTGAGGTACCGGTCCCAGCCGCGGATGATGTTCCCGTACATCTGCGTGTCCTCCAGGTAGCTGCCCTCGAAGGCGTAGATCTGCCGCTCCAGGTTTGCCAGCGTCTCCTGCCGGGAACACCGCGGCGCATGGAGCAGGCCCGGCCGCGCCGCCGCCGCCCCCCCCGCCCCGGGCCGCCCCCCGGGACCGCCCCGAGCCCCTTCCCCGGCGCTCACCGCCAGCTCCTGCTTGCGCTTCACCAGCTCGGCGAGCTCCCGGCGGGTGTCGGGGATCTGCGGGGGCCCCCCGGCCTTGGCGTGCAGCGCGGCCATGGCGGCGCGGCCTGCGCGGGGCGGGGCCGCGGCACCGCCGCCGGCCGACAGGGGGCGGTGACGGGACCGGCGGGGCGGGACCCCCGAGACAGGACAGCCCAGCCCGGCCCGGCCCATTCTATCCCATCCTATCCCATTCTATCCCATCCTATCCCATCCCATTCTATCCCATCCTATCCCATCCTATCCCATCCCATCCCATCCCATCCTATCCTATCCCATCCCATCCTATCCCATCCTATCCCATCCTATCCCATCCTATCCCATCCCATCCTATCCCATCCCATCCTATCCCATCCCATCCTATCCCATCCTATCCCATCCCGTCCTATCCCATTCCATCCTATCCCATCCTATCCCACCCTATCCCATCCCATCCCATCCTAGCCCGGCCCAGCCCAGCCCAGCCCATCACATTCCATCCCATCCCATCCCATCCCACCCCATTCCATCCCATCCCACCCCATTCCATCCTATCCCATCCCGGCCCATCCCATCCCACCCCAGCCCGGCCTAGCCCACCCCCGGGACACCGGCACAGCCACCCGGGCTAATTTACAAATCCTTTATTTAAAAACCTCCTGGAGTAGATATAAAGGAGCTCCTCCTGCTCAAACCCCCGTGCGAACCCCCCGCGGCAATGCCCCGTATTTACACCGCCAGTGTTCCCAGCCCGGTGTCCGACGGGAGGAGCCGGTGAACAGTCTGCACACGGTGAACAGTCTGTACACGGTGAACAGTCTGCACACGGTGAACAGTCTGCACACGGTGAACAGTCTGCACACGGTGAACAGTCTGTACAGGGCAGGGACGAACAAACAGGTGCGGCCACAAACACCCCGGAAGTGTGGGAAATACACATTTAACACAAAGCATCGGGGAGGAGACAGCAAAGACTACGCAACCCCCAGGGAGGGGGATTGGTGCTTCTCTTCCTAAACACAACTTCTTTACAGGGGGGAGACTGAGTTAAACAAGGAACTTAGGTAAGTTTTTATAAAAAGAGAACTTAAATAGTGCAAACTCTGGTTCAAACGTGTCACCGCATCGAAGGAGTTTCCGTGTGACAAACAAACCCTGTGGCAGGGTGGGATCAGAAATAACAGCTCCAGCTTTTGACCCAGACACTCCACATCCGAGGACAGTGTCAGCATTGAGTGTGGGAACGTGTGGGCAGACCCTGCCCCCGTCACAGCCTAGTCACCTGAAATCCCAGGAAGTGTTTAAGTTCTGTTTCACGTTCCCTTGTGATTTCCAGGCAAAAATCCAGTGAAATGCCCTCCCTCAGTCACCATGAGGCAAATTAAATACCCAAAACATACAAATACAGGAGGGGCTTTGCCACATTTCTGCCCTTTCAGCAGTGACCTGGATAAATTCTCCTGTCAGAACTTCCAACAGGCAGAAGAATTTGGCAAACTACCGAACGGGACGTGCATCGGGGACTCTCTAACTAACATTTCAGTCTGTAGTATTTTCAAAGGGCTATAACAAAACAGGTCATAAAAATAATCTTCCAGATGTCATCTGTGTTTGACGTGGTTTGCTGCCAATGTGTGTGGAGGGTTTCCAGCACCAGAGCTTTCATGTCCAGGTGCTCTTCTGCTTGTTGGGAGAAAAATAAAATAAAAGTAAAGCTGTATTTCCTGATATGCAAAACCTATAAAAGATGAATAATCAGCAAAGTCCCCCAAAACAAACTGTGAGAACAGACCAGCAACAGAAAAAGGACTTTAAGGCAACAAGAGGCATCAGTGCTGCGATGCTCCATGGTCATCCCGTTCAACTGCAAAGAGTTTCTCTCCTCTGCCCCTCTCCAACTTCCTCCTCATCTGTTAACTGTCAGACTCTTCCTCCTTTTCCTCATCCTCATCATCGTCCTTTGCATTGGCCTCAGACTTATCTGAGGATTCGTGGAGCAGGACATACTCCCTGCTGCTGAACCCGAACTTGAGCACGTCCTTCTCCTTCAGTTCGTAGTAGCGCTGGGGCTCGATGCGCTGGTTGTTGAGGAAGGTGCCGTTCCCCGAGCCCAGGTCGATGATGTAGGGCCTCACCCTGCGGCCCACGGTGCCATCAGCTCGGGTGTACTCCACCAGCCTGCAAAACACAAGCACTGAGTCACAGGAGAGGCACAGAGAACATGCCCCAAAGGCAGGTGAGACAGAAATCGTGCTCCACGAGCGAGTGGGTTTCTGCAGTGAGCAGAACAGGCCGAGAAGAGCAACAAGAAACTGTGTGAGGCAGAGCAGGTTCTGAGAGGCTGCAGCATCCCCTAAGCCTCTGGTGATTTCACACAGCAACCCTTGCACTGGGAGAGATAATGTTCCCTAAGAGAGCACCCCCCTGCTGAGTCAGAGCGAGAGAGCAAAGCAACAAATCTCCTTGAAATGCTTTCACTGCCAATCACACCTAGTGTGATTCCAACTGGGGTTCACACCCTACCCTGTGTCTAACCCTGCTGTGTCATTTTTCTACTTGTGGCTAAATAAGAGGAATTACAGGTATCTTTGGGTCACTGCTGGGAGAACCCATGGCAGTCACACAGAAATTCCATTTGTAACGTAATGTAAGTGTAGAAGACCCTTCTGGAAATTTTACTATGAGGAGATTTGGGTTTTTCGCTTAAGGAAGCTTTCCTGCCTGGAAAAAGGCATCTTTCCCAGAGACAGTTTTAAATGTTTTCTCCTCCTGCATTCCAGAGGAGCTGCCTCCCGGGTACAAGAGAAGATAAGTTCTTGCAGACATGTCTGAAGGCCCCACAGGGGCGTGGGGGGCCCAGGGATGACAAAAGCCCTGAGAAGAACAGAGAGTGTGTCTCTTTCTCAGGCCCAGTGCAGATTCGTGTTGGTATGTTGAGCATCCCCGACTTTGCAAAACAAATTCCCCTAAACCCTTGCATTGCCTGGCCCTCACACACCCCGACAGCTGTGCATTCCAGGGGCTCTGCTCTGTGCTTGGTCCCTGCCAGGGGCTCACCGGTACTGGAAGACGGCGTGCTGCTTGGAGCAGGAGGGGTGGTCGATGGGGATGTCTGCGATGCGGCGGTGCCGGCCCAGCAGGTAGGCGCTCTGCCGGTGGATGTACATCACGGGCAGGAACTCGTCGTTCTTGAAGGGGTACAGGCGCCAGCGGGTCTTGGGCACGCGGGCCTCGGGGGGCTCACTGTACTTGATCACCACCCCCCGGAACGTGTTGGTGTCCTCCAGCAGCGCCCCCGACAGCTCGAAGCTCGGCTTCTCCTTGTTGGCGGCCGCCTTCTCCTTGGGTTTGCCCTCGGGCGGCCGCAGCTCGGGGTTGTGCTCGGCGCTGCCCTGCCGGTGCTCCCGCCGCCTCTCGTTGTAGAGCTCCCTCTCCGCCTGCTGCTCCCGCAGGGTCTGCGTGTCCCGCTCGTGGCCCCGAGCCCCCGGGTTCTTCCTGCGCTCCGAGTGGTCCCTGTGCCGGTCTCGGTCCCCGCTCCGGTCCCGCCGCTGCTCCTGCTCTGACGGGTGCCTGGGCTTGCGCTCCTCGTTGCCCCTGCGGCCGTGCTCGTCCCGCTCCTGCAGGGCACAGGGACGGGCTCTGGGTCCGAGCGAAACCCCAACCCCACACACGAACAGCACACACTGGGGCGGGTGTGTCCAGGTCCGACACGGCGCCAGACAAACGGATCTCCCGCCCAAATGACTCCCGTTCCCACAATTTGCACCGACTGAAGCACAAGAAACAGGCGGTATCGCCAGCTCTGGGCTCAGAGTGCAGCTGCCAGGGACGTCTGCGCCGCGGCACAGGCTGGGCTCGCACGGGTGCTCCGGTCACCGCTGGCACGGCCTGGGGTGGGCAGACCCGTCCAGACCCTCCCTCCGCTCAGGGACGGGCTGCAGGGGCCGCAGAACCGAACTGCACCGACAGCACCCTTTACCTGCTTCACCCTCACGGTGCCGTGGTACGGGCTGCGGCTGCGGCTCCTCCTGCCGCGGGGCGAGCGGCTCCTCCGCCCGGACCGGCTCCTCCGCCGGGGCGACCTGGAAAACAACGGGAGGGGGGATGAGCGGCGGGGGCCGGGCCGTGCGCGGGGCCCCAGCGGCCGGGCCTCCCTACCTGCTGCCGCGGCTGCCCCGCCGCTCCTCGCTCGGCGGCGACGGGCTGCGCCGGGGGCTGCGCCGCTCGGCCTTCACGACCGCGTCCCTTCGCCGCCGCTCCCGCCGCCGCTCCCCCCCCGCCTCCATGGCGGCCGTGCCGACGGAAGTGCGGCCACTTCCGGCCTCGCGCCGTTTCCGCCCGCCTGAGCGCTGCTGCGCCTGCGCGGGGCCGCGGCGTCGCGGTCGCCACGGCAACGGCGCCCTCGGCCGCCATGGCGGCCCCGCCGGACTCGCTGCTGCGCTACTGCCCACCACAGCTGATCAGCCGGCGGGGCGACAGGGCCTCCGCGGGGGTGAGCGGGGACAGGGGCACCGGGGAACACCGCGCTCTGCCGGGGGCGAGCGGGCCGAGGGCGCCGCGCTCCCCCGCCCGCTCCTACCGCGCTCTCCTCTCCGGCCCCCGCAGGCCCGCTCGGCGATGGCGAGCCCCTCGCCGCCGCCCCGGACACCCGGCGCCATCAGCCCCTCCCCGAAGCACCCGCAGGAGCTCCTGAACGCCATCCTGCCGCCGCGGTGAGCGGGGCCGGGCCGGGGCCTGCGGCGCCCGGCGGTCCCCGGGGCGCCCGATAACGCTTCTGCTTCTCTGGCAGGGAGTGGGAGGAGGCGCAGAAGCTCTGGGTGCAGGAGGTGTCCACCGCGCCCAGCACCCGCCGGGACGTCGTGCAGCTGCAGGAGCAGCTGGACCGGCAGCTGCAGCAGCGGCAGGCGCGGGAGACCGGGCTGTGCCCCGTGCGCAGGGAGCTCTACACGCAGTGCTTCGGTCAGTGCTCCTCCCACTGCTGACACGCAAAGGACAGGGCTGGCAACACGTGCAGAACAGCTCAAAATCCTTTTAGTTGTACTTACCCAACGGTTCATTTAAAATAGCTCAGAAGCCTGTCTAACTCACACACTGACAGCACACGACGCTGGTCTTCCAAATGCAAGGGGTGGCCATGGGTTGGAGCAGGATCCCCTGGAGGCTCCCCTGTGACTGCAAAAAGTCATTACACATTCTTAGGTGTTCCCTGTTACAGCTTTAGGGGATCAGCACCACTGGTGTTACTTGAGGGGCTGCACCATCACTCTTTTATCCGCTGCGCTCGATGCTGCAGTGTAACAAAACAATCAGTTACGACCGTCTCTGGTAAATCCCTGTTCCTGTGGAGCAGAGAAGGGTCAGAGGGGCCCTGTGTGTGTGTGCAGCACTCCCAGAGATGGCTCTGCAGGTGCTGTGCCTCCCTTGCAGACGAGCTGATCCGGCAGACGACGGTGAGCTGCGCGGAGCGGGGGCTGCTGCTGCTGCGGGTGCGGGACGAGCTGCAGCTCACCCTGGCCGCCTACCAGGCGCTGTACGAGAGCAGCGTGGCCTTCGGCGTGCGCAAGGCGCTGCAGGCAGAGCAGGGCAAGGCCCTCATGGAGAAACGGGTGAGTCGGGGGCGCTGCCGCGGGATGGCAGCACAGACCATCAGAACGCTCTGCCGCGCTCCTGAAGCCTGGTTCTGTTGTATCTGAAATGCTTCAGAGGCTGTACACACCACTTTTAACTGAAAATTGACTATTCATCAACAAAACTTGAGAGATCCGTGCTCTTTCCCAAGATTGCAGAGCTGGAAGAGGAAAGGAGGGAGCTGGAAAAGCAAGTGAGTGAGGAGAAAGCCAAATGTGAGGCTATTGAACAACAAGAAGTAGAACGGCGAGAGATAGAAGAGAAGAAACACAACGAGGAGGTTCTGTTCCTCAAACGGACAAACCAGCAGCTGAAGGTCAGTAAAAAACCACAACCCAAATACTAATGGTAACATTCTCATTAAAGCCACTAAAGCTGCCCCTCTGGGAACACACCACACCATTGAACATTAAATATTACCCAAGAACAACTGTGTACTCCTGCAGCAGGGACTGGGTAGTTATTTGTGCACGTGGCTTTGGTGAGAAGAGCTTCTGCTCCATATTCTGTTTTTGAAAGGAAAAATCCCACATCTTCTGAGTAAGGAAAGAATGTCACCCTGCACAACATCGAATGTTTCTGGCTACAGGTAAAAACATTTCCCTTAGGGCAAGCTGCTTTCCTTACCTTCACTTCTCCTGCAGGACCTACTTGCCAACCCACATTTTCAGGCTGTCTTGGAATGTTTTAGGGCATAAAATGGAGTAACTGTTAGATCAAACGTGCGTTGCCCCTGAATCCATGGCTTTTTCCTTGAAGTACCTGTACTCCAGCAGCTGTGTGTGCCACTGCTGGGGGTTATTCTGGGGGCAGCTCCCATCAATCCACTAACTGGGCGTCAAGTTGTCTCAGTAATCACAAAACTTGCTGTTCCCAGCTCCTCTACTCCCAGAGTCAGTTTGTGTTCCAAATGCTAGAGAGCCAAATATTTAATTTAGCTCACATAGTCCAGCCTGAAATCAGAGAATTCAGACCACTGTTTCAACAGCTTTTATTTAATTTCCCCCTTGATGCTTTACATTCTAAGCTGAGTCTCTCAGTGCACAGAGCCAAGGCCAGCTCTGTTCTCCTCGGAATGCAACAACTGGGCATGCCAGGAATGACAAGCTAATTTATAAAACATGTAGTAAGGAATGGAATGGCTGGGGAACAAACCTGGCCTGGCTCTCCTGGCAGCAGTGCAGGATCCCTCAGTTCCTCCCTGTGAACATCCAACAGACAGTTTAGTCCCTCACAGCACTGCAGGTTTATTTCTTAGGTTGACTCTAATTTGCCTCACTGTCTCATTTGTTTTTCAGTCACAACTTGAAAGCATCATTGCAGCAAAGAACTAATTGTTTTGTTGTCCTCGAGGCAGGCTCAGAAAAGCTGTCAGAGCAAGAAGCTTGCAATTAGTGACAAAGAATTGTCTTCCTACAACGATCTTGAGTTTTCACTTACCAGTAACTGAAGGCAGCATTACTGTGTTCTTTCTTTCTCTCTCTCTTGAAGAGTTGAAATTCAAGAGCTTCATTAATTACTGCTCCCTCTTTCAGTGCCATCTCAGCAGTCAGCTCTTTGAGCAGTGAACATGTCTGGGACTTGCCTGTTGGTAATGTGCTAATGACCTTCAAAGCAAGAACTAATAAACATTTTTAAATGCAAACATCTCTCTGATATTATTAATTTGAAAATGTTGTAGAAAATTCAGAAACAATATAAAGGTGTCTACAAGAATTGCAAGTCCCATGCACCAAGAAACGAATGGCAGGTGATTCTTAGGTGTCTGGAGTATTTCTTTGAGTACTTGCAAATTGGTGTTGGCTGTACCTGGAAATCCCTGTCAGTGGTAAGTGAAGCCCTTGGCCTGATCGTTTCTGGTGAAACAAAGGGACACCAGCCAGTCATAGATTCACTTCTCAGTGGAAATGAGAAATGAAATCTTTACTTGAGGTACCTGTGTAAGCAGCTGGTTCCACAGCAAGCAGACATGGGAAAGAGAATTCCCTGCAGTCATGTGAAAAACCCCATAAAGCCGGTTTCCAGAAAAAAAACCACCCAAACCCCACCACTGAGCAACACTGGAGGAGCTGTTTGGCCAGTGCGGGATTTGCTGGCCTGGGATGGAGATGTGGAAATACCATCAGCTCCAACTGCACAAAGAACTTTCAGATGATGCAGAAACAAAGAGGGAGATGCTGCTCCTGGGGCCAGGACAGACCGGTCACACTGGGCTTTGAACGGGAACTGCAAGTTTTATAGTAAAAAAAGCCACCGCATACTAGAACTGTTTTATGTAAAATTTAATAGAATAAGCAGCTATTGCTTATGTTTGTATTTTTTGTGCTTTGATCTTTGTTCCTCCAAGCCAGTTTTTTTCTTGTTCTTATTCTTATTTTTCACGTTGTGAGTTTCATAATACCGGACTCCAACTTTCTTGGAGCGCTGCTGCCTCTCGGCTCGTCTCCTCTGCAAACACAGACAAAACACATTAGCAAATCCCCAGCATCCATAGCCTCAGTGTCTGCAACTCTCCAATGGTGTTCACATTCCACACGCCTTAAGTAAAATAAATAATTTCCAACAAAATGTTTCTGATGAGAATCTATAGGGAACCCACCCACCCATGCTCTTAGAAAAGAAAGCTGTGCTTCAATCTTTACAGGAGTAGTCAACAAGATAAAAGAGGCAACCTGGTGAGCACAGTCAGGTAAGAGGGCTGTGACAGAACCTGTGACAGGACATTGGTAACAGAATTCAGTCTTCACTCCCCTCCTGCTCGTGCAGAGTCTTAAAGCCCTTTAGTGGTAATGGGCAATCCACGGATAAAAAAGCCACTCTATTTCCCTGCTCAGCTGTACTACAAGAAATTACACTTACTTCTTTGGATGTGAGTTTCTTGCAAGGCTGTGTACCCAACTGGTCATCATCATCACCTCCCTCTTCTGCTTTCCTCTTTCTTTTCTTCTCTGTGCTGCCTGCAACCAGCAGAAATCACACAGTTGGGAATCTTCCAGAACACCCATTTGTTTGCAGAACTTCAGACTGGGGTCACCATCCCAACTCCTTGAGCAATGCATTCCTTTGGCCTTATTTAACGTGCATGTTCCTCACCAGAGAATCAGTAGCTATTACTATGAAAGCTGCTCTCAAGAAGCAGATTGCTTCCAGCCCAGGAGACTTCCACAGTCCTTTCAGAACGGGGCTCTCCCACTGACTGTGCCTTTAATCAAACTGCCTGTGGCAACTGAAGCCACAGTAAAACCTGCAGACTGAAGCATCTCTGTGCTTTTATAACATCCCACCCCCCCTCACTCCCTCCTGTGTGACACCCCTGGGACAGGGAGCTGCTCTGGCTGCAGCCTGGAGCCCAGGCTGTTGGGAACACAACATTTGCCTTCTCTGGACCTTCCCTCCCTCACAGGGACATCTCCCCTCACACAGACAGGTGTTCTACAGCGAGGCTACAGCAGGTCAGCAGCAGCTCTGGGGTCAGCTAAGGGGACACTTAAGCACCTTCAGGGGAAAAGAACTTGGATGCAGGAGCCAGTGGATGCTTCTCCCCCTAACTCCCTTTCTTCTCTGGTTTACAGGATTTCCCAACATAGATTAAGAATATTAACTAATCTTGTTTTACCTCCGTCTTCAGTTTCTTTGGGTTCTTCAGCCTTCTGCATGGATTTTGCAAACACTTTGTCACTCAGTCCCTTAGGGATTCTACGGAAGATAAAATCAGCAATAAAAGGTTGCTGTAACACAAACCAAGAAGCCACCGGTCTCCAGCAGATCCCAGTCCCCCGTCAGCACCAAAGCCACAGTCTTTGCACCTAAAAAACATATTGCAGTACTTTTGTCTCTGGAGTTACTGACCTTGTGTGCTGCACAAGAGACAAAATATAACCCTTAACCTTGAAATCTCAGTCCTCACAAGGCTGGTGAGTGAGCTTTGCTAAAACTGGGCCTGCTCTATGGGCCAGGATACTCTGCATGTGCACAGGGACCCACCTGGCATATCGAGGCAGGAATCAGCCTTGGTATAACCCAACATCAAGGAGATATCCAGGAAACAATTTTGCTGCCCAGAATACCAAGAGATTTCTAACCCATAGCTTAAGAGGCAACTTTCAAAAGTGAGAACATTTTTAATTATGCTGGTTAATAGCGCTTCTTGGAATAACCTTTCAAAAACAAACTGCTGCTTGGCCAAATTTCCAACCCTTATGGCTAAACCAGACAAACTGTGGCTTATGTGAGGCAGCACAGGGGAACTGTCAAGCAAGTCAGGCATGGAATGGAACTACAGCAGAGTCACATCAACCCTTTCCTCCCCTGCAAAACATTGGACAGATTCAGGTACCTTATTGCTGAGAACCTCTTGGCTTTGGCTTTATCCAGGAATTTTTTGTATTTTGCAATCTTGTCCTCCAGAGCCTTAAGAACTGCTTTAGAACTCTCCCTGGCTGGTGCAGCCACCTGCGATTCCTCCTCTCCTGCATCCTGCTGTTGCTCATTCTCCTCCTTCTCCTCCTCCTGCTCTTCCTCTCCACAGGAATCACTGTCTGTCTCATCAAAGCCTGGCACATCCACAGGAACCAGGTCTTCCTCCGAGAACTGAGGGGCCACGTTAATCCTGCCGAAGTTCTGCCGCACGTGGGACATGAGCTGCCTGATTTCAGTGTCTGGGTTGTTCCTCTCTTCTGGCTCCACACTCGATGCCATCGACTCAGAGACCTTCTCCTCAGTATTATCCTGGCTCGAGGTCACAGCTGCTTCCAAGGCAGGAGGCTGCAAGGAAGTGTGTCATGGATATATTATCCACAAAGTCTGTCCCATCATCTCCAGCTTCTGTTTTCTCTCTTTGGAAAAAGCCTACGATGACAATGTGATAATCAGTGACATTTCTGGTAGTCAGCAGTGGCTCAGATATCTCTGTAAAGAGCACAGCACAAACCTGGTCCTCACCAACTTCAAGTGTCACCTGAATGACCAGGCTTGGGCAGAGCCCAGTCACTGCCCGAGTCTCATGGCACTCTGGGAAAAGCAGCAGTGAATTCCATTAGGAAAATCAAACAATATGTAGAAGAGGAGGCATGAGCTTCACATTCTCACCTGGGAACCTGGTTCACCTGGTTCTGCATTCGGTGGCTTCACAAAGAATGGGATTCTGCCCCTCTGCCAGTCATTGAGAACCATCTTGCTCACAGTCTGCAAGTCAGGCTCACCACCCTGAAAGAACCAGGAACAATCTCTGTCCACATTTGCAGGGCACAGCGCCTTCCTACGCCTTGTAAGCAACAGAAACATTCCCATCTCCCATGTTCAGTAACAGGCCCCACGCTCTCCAGCCTGCAAATGCAGGAAGCTGTCACACCTTTAGCAGTTTTCCAGTCCTAGCAGCAAGTTTCTCAAGGAAGTCTTCTGTATCCTTCCAGGAATCAATTTTGTACGTCTTCCTGATGTACTCTGCTTTGGCCCTTTCCAGCACAGCACTAATATGGTCTTCAGGGCTCTTAATCTTTTCAACTTGAACCTGAAAACACGTGGTAGAGGATCAACCCTTTGGAGGTGTGTATTCATCCCTCTGAGCCCACCACATGGGCAACAGCAAAGCTGTGCAGCCCCCGTGCAGACACGTACCACTCCCTTGAGCACGATGTCCGTCTCCGTGTCCCCCGACGGATAAACCACCCCCGGGCAGTCGATGAGGAAGATGCGCCGCATCAGGGTGATGTACTGCCAGACCTGCAATGGAGCAGCAGGGTGAGGGACTGCCAGACCTGGGACAGAGCAGCAGCTGCTGGGCAGGGCTTGGGCAGTGCCCTGTTTGTGAGGACGAGTCACAGAACCGGCACTGACAGAGCCTGAGCCAGCGCCTGGTTCAGGAGAGCACAGACCCGGAGCACTCCCACGACTGCAGCATGGCAGAGTGGGAACTTGGGAATGCTGCCAGAGCAGTGCCTCAGAGAAGGGACTGCCCAGCAGCCACTCCTCGGGCCACACAGCCTGTGCAGCTCAGTGCTGGACTTGACAACGTCATCGGGCTGATTTCACACCAGCTCTGCCTTCAACCACGTGCTTATTTGTATCTTTAACAGAGGGATGTTCTCACCTTTGTCTCCCCTGCAATGGGGGCCACGTTGCAAACCTTCTTGGATCGTAGGGTATTGATCACTGAGCTCTTGCCAACATTGGGGTAACCAATGAACCCCACGCTGATCTGCTTCTTGTCAGAGTGTAACTGGGGAGAAAGAACAGTCCTTGTACACCTTGGAGGGACAGAATCACCACTGCAGCACTGAGCCCCAAACCCTAACAAAGCAAAACACCACACACTAACTGCCCCACCCCAACCACACAGATCCCCAGAATTGTTCTGTACCTTTCCAAACTGCCTCAGAAGCTGGATGAAAGCACCTTTGCCAAAAGGGTTTGTGAGGCTGGCGTGGAAAGCCAGTGTTGGATACTCCTGGGAAAGGACAGCAACCCAACGCTTCTGGAGAGGCAAACAGACTGGGTTAGGGACCTGGGGCTGGAGGGGGTGACACCAGCTGCTCAGAGAGGGGGGCACAGCGTCTGCACTGGGCTCACAGTGGCCATGAACATGGCTAGGGAAGAACCTTTGAAGCATTTCCCCAACCCAACAGCTAAAAGCACTGAGTATTGTTTGTATAAAAGACAAACAATTTCCCAAAAACGCCTTCACTGCTAGCTAAAACTCATTAGTTTAACGACATAAAGCAAACCAGCTGGGGTGGATATGGATCCTAGGCAGACTAACATTTAGCATACTCTGGAGACAACAGCTGAACTGTTAAATCCAGACAGAGGAAGTAGGGAATTTGTGGCTGGTGAGTGTTGCTCAACTCGGCCAAACTTGGACAGATTTACATGGTAATTGTTACTTTTACAGCAGGCAAGCAGAGAGCTCCCAGTGCCCCAGTGGCAGTACACCCTTCCAGACCAGCATGGGGACTGGCATGGAGCTACAGCCAAGCTGCAGCAGGAACAAAGAGGGTCCAAGGAATAACAGGCAGGACTGTGCTTACAGTAGCCCAGGTAGGAACGAGATCACATTTGTTCAGGACAAAAATGAGATGTTTCCAGTGCTTCTCCTTTTTAAGGTAAGATTCCACGTGAGGGGAGCGAGTGCCCATGGGATCCCTGGCATCAAGAACCTGAACAACAACATCTGACGAGTCGATCACCTGAAAAATAAAAAAATCACACAGAAGGAAAGGATTTTACAGAAAGTAAGACATCTGTACTTCCCAAGTGAAACCTAGTCAGTTCTGAAACTACAGCATTAATTTAAAAATCTTGTATCTTTCACAAACAACTGCTACTTCCCCTCAGACCTGTGAAGCTCAGACTAACACCCACTGATGCTCCACTCTCCCCTCTCCTAAATCCCCTCCAAATTCAGGCTGGACAGTTGAACAGCTTTTACCTGTTCTTATGCACCAGGGAAAGAAAACACCGCACCCAAATGTGAAAAAACCAATTGCTTCAGCACACAACCCCCCAGTGTTTGTCATCCATTCAGCAGCAATTCCCTTCTGCCATTTCATAATGGATCAGGGTATAAAGGATGTTTTCTGGATCAATATGAAACACACAACCAAGCAGGAACCTGCTGTTAGTCCACTAAGCATCTACAGCAGGGAGCTGTCATTTTACGACTTGCTTCAAGCCAAGTGAATTTGTTTCACAGCTTTTTCCTGCAGTTTTGGCAGCCTCTTACTGAAATCTGTTTTGCTCCATCATTCCCAGGGCTTTTAGATCCAAACAAAAAGGTTTTAAGCCACATTCAGAAATTCAGAGCAAAAAGTCAAGCAATTTCACACCTAACAGTCAGAGAGAGCACAAACTCTCAGCCTCCATTTCTCCAGCAGCCAAGGTGGCTCACAGGGAATTAAGGGTCAGAGCTCTCCCAAGACGAACCCATCCACACCCCAGATGTTTTTAGCCAAAAGAAACTTCAGGGAACATGACTGGTTTACTTGTGGTGAAGCCCCAGGAATCCAAGAGAAACTGTTATCTTTGCTCTGCCAGTCCTTCTCTAGATAATGTATTTTAAGAGTGTTTGTTCCAGTAGGACAAGAGCTCAAGAATCAAGCTCAGTCACGCAGAGATTTGGAAATGAAACTCTTGTTTTCTCCTAGAGCTTCTCTCACTGTTGCTGTACAGGATTTCAGTGCTGTGCTGCAGCCCCTGCCTGTGCCACAGACGTGACTCTGCTGTGAGTTCCAAATGCCACTTACCTTGTAGAGCTCACCCCAGATTCTTCTGGACTGTCCTTTCTTAAAGATTTCCTCTTGTGCTTCATCCCTGGAAGACATCACCAGAGGCATCAGCAACCACAGAAACAGGGTCACAGTGTTGTCTTCTCTTCTCTAAAGCCCTTTACAGACAGAAGAGAAGACGAGGCCCAAGTAACAGCTGGGATTTAGCCAAAATCCCAAATTCAGCTAATCTCACTTTCCTTAGTCCTCACACAGTAACAGCATCGATGGATGTACCAGATACTTCTTTAAAAACAAGGCTGGCTTTTCAGACAGGTAAACAATGAATCATTTTTCCTTTCCATTCACCTTACACCAGTGTCCTCTGTCACCAGGTCTCGGTCCTTGTCCTGGTCATAGGACTCAGAGGAGGCCTCAGCATTCTCCACCAGAGCCTGCACATCACTTGCAGACAGCGTTGGTCTTTTCCTCTGTGATTTGGGGCCAAACGTTGTTTCAAACGTTTCCGTGTCAAGAATGTGAACCCTGGAGGTCTGAGGAAAAACAGGTTGGTAAAAAAAACACCCCAAGCACCACTTTTTCCACCTCTCGTGACATACACTGAAGAAGCCTGGAGTTCAACACAGCCCTGGAGCCTGTGACAAGTGACAGGCACGTCCATAACAATGTTTGAGCTTTCCAGCTTAAGCTTTGGGAAACATAAGAGTGGATATTTAATAAGCAACGAAACACTATGCACTTGCCAAAGAACTATGCTTCAGTTCTTCCACCATAAATGGTGTCAAATGCAATTACAGCCACAATGATGAAAATTCAGCTGCTATCTTTGATCATTTCTTATTTTTCTAACAAGAGCATAAATCTCGCCAAATTCTCAGATTTTTGTCAGGGACAATTACCATCAAAATTGTAGATTTTTAAAGCTTGCAATGAAAGCCAACTTTTCTTGGAACAGCAAACAATTCATTGCTGAAAGCAGCAATTTGTTTTTGTAATGCACATTTTGACATAACCTTTTCTTAATTTAAGTAACATTTTTATTACATAAAACTTAAAAAGTTTCCATATGACAAAATAGCTACCAAGAGTCCAAAATAATAGTTCAGACACCATGAAAAAAACTGGCAATAACTAAAACTCGATGTACTAGAAATGAAGTCTGCATGCACAAGGGTTTGTGATACAGGATAAAACACACGTTCTCATCCCCAGTGTCTGCAGTGTGAAGCAGGCTCAGAAAAGGTCCAGGAGCTGTTAGAGGCATTAGAACATTTAGAACATCAGCAAACCTATCAGAGAATATATTGTGATATGGTAATATCATAACCTGTCACAGAATCCCACAATGGTTGGGTTGAAGGGACGTTGAAGCCCATCCCATGGGCAGGGACACCTTCCACCAGCCCAGGCTGCTCCAAGCCCATCCAACCTGCCTTGGACACTTCCAGGGATGGGGCAGCCACAGCTTCTCTGGGCAACCTGTGCCAGGGCCTCACCACCCTCACAGGGAGGGATTTTTGGGTAATTTCCCAATGCAAAATGAGAATTTCTATTAAATAAGGCATCTTCTCACTGTTTCTTTGCCCTGACACTCGATGCCTGCAGTGACAGGGAATCAGAACCATCCTTCCCAAGGAATCCACTACAGCTGCCTCTCCCAAAGCTTCCAGAACATTTCCCCAGACTGAGCAGAGACATGTCCCCAGGTCAATGCCTCTCCTGACAGCCCCCCCTGCACAGGGAGTGACACCCACGTGTGGCTTGATCCGATCATGGAACAGGGACATGGGCAGCTTCCTTTGCTTCATGACCACCCTGTAGGGATCCTTCATCACCGTCTCCATCTCCTCCTGGAACTTCTGCAGGGACGACTGCTTGATCACACGAGTATTTCCTGCATGGAAAAACAAACACTGGCCATTCCTCACCTTCACTGCTCCACAGACCCCAGGGGCACTAACAAAACATGAACTCTCCGTCTGGGATCAAAAACACCAGGGACAAAACCAGGGGATTTTACTTGAGACTTTGGGGTTCCGAATATGCACAAATAGGCCAATCCCTCTCTTTGCCACCATTTAAAGGAAATTTTAAAACTATCTCTAGGACACTTAAAATCCATGTACATGGGCAAACGCCAGGGACTGACCACAGGAACCAGAATAACCACCCTTAGGGACAGCAAACCCCCAGAGCACAGCTAGAGGTGAGGGGTCCCTCAGCTCAGACCCTGCCCCACACTGCCCTCAGACCACAACTCTGAAACAAACACCCTCCAATACACAAAGCCCAACAGATTTTCAGCTTGATGAGTCTGGAAGCCGAACAAAACTCACCAAACCATTTGATATTTGGTTCCACCCTCGCCACTGTGCCTGGTGCCACGGTGGACTGGAACTGCAGGGGTTTGATCACTTTGCCATGTTTGTTCCTGAGGGACAAACGAGGACAGGTCAGTGCACTCACCCCTCCAGCACTTGTGTGAGCCAGGCCAGGAGCACACCCGTGAAATCCAGGGAGACCCTTCACCCACAGCCAGTGCTCCAGAGTGTTCCATGGCCTGTGCAGGGGAGTCAGCCCAGCTCTGACAGCAGCAGTGGCACTCACAGCCCTGGCTCTCCCTCCAGCCTGGCCAGACCCTCCCTGCAGCTGTCTGGGTCAGCCCAGGGAGGGCTGCTGGGGTTGCAAAAGGAATCAAGGACCATTTTCTAGCAAACCCCACTCAGTTCTCTCTGGAGCCTTTTAACCACCTCTGCAGGGCACTCAGCACAGCGTTCCCAAGCTCAGACCTGCTTTAAGTTCAGCAACATTTCAAAATCCCTCCTCCTCATCTGCTGCCCAGACAGCAGGAAACGGGGCAAAACAAACCAGAACTGCTGCTGTGAACCAGGAGCCCCAGAGCCCCCACGGCACAGACACGGTGGGAGCTGCTCCCCAGCCTGATGCCTGAGTGGAGCACAGGGGGAACCCCCTCAGGGGATCCCTCCATGCAGGAGCCAGGGGAAGTCAGGCTCTTCAGGCATTTGGGAAGCAGCTTTCGAGCTATGCTGCTGTGGGAAATCTGGGAATTCTGGGTGGTTTCGAGACTCATGACATTTCAGGGACATGTTCAGCTGTTCTGCAGCGCCTTTTCCTGCTGCACCTCTGGGACATGGCTGGGCTGCTTGGAGCCATGGGCCAGGCTTGGGGCAGGCTCAGGGTGAGGCTCCCCAGCTCCCGGGGTCACAGAGCACTGACACAGGCCCGTTCCAATACCGAGCGTTCTGCCGCCCGTCCCCACCTGCGCTCCTTCTGCCGGTACATGTTGAGGCGCCGGATGGTCGCTCGGTCCCGCATGTTGTTCCCCCCCGCGCCCCCGATTCGATCTGCAGAGACAAGAGAGGGTCAGTCTCGGCCCTGCCCGTCCCGTTTCGCCCCGTCCCGGCCCTCCTGGCCCGTACCGGGGTTGGTGCTGGCGCGGGAGGGGTTGATGGAGCAGCGGCCCTTGTACCGCGGCTTCACCATCGCGGCGGTGCCGGTGTCGCTGTCGGTCCCTGTCGCGGTCGGTCCGGTGTCCCTGTCCCGGTGTCCGTGTCCCGGTGTCCCTGTCGGTCCCGGTGTCCCTGTCGGTCCCGGTGTCCCTGTCCCGGTGTCCCTGTCGGTCCCGGTGTCCCTGTCCCGGTGTCCCTGTCCCGGTGTCCCTGTCTCGGTGTCCCTGTCGGTCTCGGTGTCCCTGTCGGTCCCGGTGTCCGTGTCCCGGTGTCCCTGTCGGTCCCGCAGTGCTCGGCCGGGCCGCGGACACGCGCGCGGCACTTCCGGCGCGCCTGACCCACTTCCGGGAGCGGCCGCGAGGCGGCGCAGGCGCAGCGGCGTCTCCGGGCAGCCACGTGCGCGCCCGGTCGCCATGGCAACGCGTGGGCCCCGACCCCCCCGGGACTCCCGTGTCCCCCTGTCCCTCCCGTGTCACCTTGTCCCTCCCGTGTCCCCCCGTTTCCAGGAGGGCTCCGGCCCCCGGGGGGCGGCGGGACGCGCCTGTGCCCGGCCCGGGGCGCTGCGGTCTGGCCGGGTCCCGCCCGGGGCCGCGGGGCTGTTCTGAGGCCCGGCGGGGCCGCTGGCACGGGGGGCCCCCATTGTTTGGGAATGTTTGTTCATAGACACATAATGGGAATCGTTTGGGAGCGCGGCAGTAGCGCTCCTCGCCGTCTGCTGATGAATGGGGGCAGCTGGAGAGCAATTGGGGCTGCTGGTGGGGAACCGGGGCAGTTGGAGGGGCACTGGGGCTGCTGGAGGGCACTGGGGCAGCTGGTGGGCCACTGATGTGGCAGAGACTCATGCACAGGGCAGTACTGGTGGGTGTTTACAGGCACACGGGGCTGTTCCTTTTGGGTTACTGGCAAAGAATTTAAAAAATTAGAAGTAACAACATTGGTGTTTTTATGTGCGTGTAAAGAATTGCATGGACAGTGCGGTAACAAATCAAATTTAGGGAAATTCTATGTCTAAAGCCTAAGCCTATGTTTGTGTTACTGCCAGATTTTAATAGCAGTCTGAAAGCTCCTCACCTAGGGGAAATGAACAAAGCTGCACTGAAATGGTGTTAATTGATACCAGAGCCTGGGCCGGGGCCAAGCTCAGCACCTTGGGAAATCCTTCCCCCAAACACAGCCCTGGCCCATCCTTCCTAAACACTTATTAGCAGCAGAGCATTCCTGGCCAGTGCAACATCCTTCTGGTGCTGCTAATGCTCCTCTAAACCCAGAACAATAACAGAGCTGCTGGGGTTTTGTTCTTTTAATGATTTTCAGCGTTTTGCTGTGAGGTGCAGAGTCCCTGCTGTGCAAGGGAGCCCTGATGAGTCAGGCCTGGGAGATGTTTTGTAAGATGGAGTCTGGAATTTGGAGGCTGTTTGGCTTAAGCCTACAAGTTCTGGTTTTTCTCTTAATAGAATTATCTGTGCCTTGGGCATTGAAAAAGTACACACTGATGTGGGCATAAAAATCAATTCCAAATTGTAGATAATTGTCTAAGCTATCAGACTCGAGGCTCATGTAGGAGAGTTTTCCCAGGACAAGTGTGTTTTCTATTAGAGTCGATATCAATCTGTCAGAAGATCCTTTTGATTTTCAAAATTTTAGACTAAATAGTTGAGTAATACTTGCTCTGCTCTCCCCCACTCTTTCTTCCTTTCCCTTAAGAAAACTCCTTCTTTATTGTTAGCAAGAGATCTTGGGGTGCAGCCAGAAAGTCCCTGTCTCTTTCTGTGAGAGGACAAACCCAGCCAGCTTTGGGCAGGAGGTTGTGGTGTGGAGAACTTGTCTTGGGGATGGCTCAGAGCTGGGTGCTGAATTCCCAGGCTGGAAGCTTTGGCAGTGAGGGCTCAGCCCCTGTCCCTGGCTGTGCCCACAGCGTGTCCCTGTTGGAGTGGGCTATGGGTGGGATTTTCTGTCCTAAGAAAAGATCCTACTGATCACGTGTGGGATCTGCATTCAGACTGGCACAACTCATCCCTTCTGCTGCACTCTCCTTGTTCTCACGTGTTCCCTGACCCAAATTCCCTCACTGGGGCCAGCAGTTGGTGTTTAACTCGCAGCATCCCTGCGGCTGTTTGTTGTGTATCTGATAACGCAGGGTCGGATATTGTTCCTCCAAACTCATCTTTTGTTACTCTATGACTCACAGCTTTTCCTTTGCTGTTGATGCATCCCTCCCCTTTGGATCTTTAACTTTTTCTTGTCCTGTGTCCATTGGGTGCAGCGGGACCCGCCGGGACAGCGGGGTTGGAGCTCGGTGTCCATGGGCTCTGCCACACAGCCTCAGCTCCTTGGCACCACTGCCCTGACCGGGGCTGAAATGAAACCATTTCGGGTTTTATGTGGCCTCATCCTTGTCAAATCCCAGAGAATGGGGTTACATGATGCCATTGGAATGACTCATTCCCATAATTACATATGTTCCGAGGGGTTATTCCCATTGTATTATTAAAAACTAGTGATGTTGGATTTTTGGCAGGGGCTGTCTTCCTTGTGTGATCTACACATTTTGTCAATTAAATGAAGGAAAAGTAGATTTCCAAGAGTTCAGAACAAGACTGGACTTGCACTCAGAGCCCTTTTTCAGTGTGGTATCAAGCTCCTGTTTTATTTAACAGGATAAAGCAGCATCAGCCACCTCTATTGCAGCGATTCCCTGCAGAGCACAGGGACTCAAGTGGCCTTGGTAGCTCGTCTTCAAAATCACAACCAGAAGGCACCATAGGTGGTTTATCAGCACAGCAGCTTTCCCAGCTCAGTTCCTGAGGAATAGTTTTCCAGGGATACAGCTGACAGGAGCAAGAGGCTCCCTGGCAAAAGGCTCCAGGTTTGATGGCTCCTGAACGGGAAAACCAAAGTGATCCCAGACTGTTCCCAAAATGGGGACTGGAAGCAACGGGAAGTCGGGAGGGAGGAGAAAACCCAAGTCAAGAAAAAAGGCCCAGAGGTGTAAGAGGGCTCTGAGAGCCCAGGCTGAGCTGTGCCCAGTGGGGTTGAGCCCTCGGGGGGCTCAGAGCAGTGCCCGTTCTGCAGAGCCCTCGGCTCCACTCTGGGATCAGGGACCTGGAGTTCACCAGCGCTCTGAGGGCTAAAGCAGTGACATGGAAATGTTTTCCTGTGGTGTCTGATTTTAACAGGGATGTAAAGTAACTTCCCTGTCTGGCTGGGCTCCCGTGGGGCACAAGAGGGGCCATGGCCTTGAGCAGCCCTGTCAGTGCCTCTAACCCAGCACTTCCCCTCGGGGTGTAAATAACAACACAACCTACCTGGCTGCCTCTTTTTTTTCTTACTAAGATCCTGCTGCTCTTCAAAACTCATGGAGATTCCAGCAAGAGGCTCCGTCTAAACTCTGGTTTGGCATTCAGCTGGGTGTGATGTATTATTGTGTACATAAAGCTGATCAGGGTGATTTATTTATGGTGACTGGTTAAATACACTGGTATTTCTGTAATTTTAATAGAGATTTTTTAAAGCATGGTGCCTAACATCTCTCTCTCACTCTCTCTGTGAAGGCTATTGACTTAATAAAATCTGTAAATATATATCTGAGCTATCCCTTTTAGTGTTCTCAGAAAATGTAATCCAAACAATAGTGTTGGAGATAACCTGTTTCACTATTCTACTCTGTTTCCTTTAATCAAAGGTAAGATTTCTTCTGAGTGAGAAACCATTTTAACATAAACATGGGCTAAGCAGTATATACATTGCCCCTACCTCTCTGGGGCAGAAAGCCAGTGAATTACTGCATGAGGAGTGTGTGCACACAGTTCATTGACTGCGTCTGACAAAAAATACAGGTTTATATTACCCAGAGAGGGTAAGAACAGCATAGAACCAACCTGTGTTTGGTGACATTCATCTGCTTTAGCTTCTACATCTCAGCAAATGAGAGAGAAATGGAACCGTTTCAAAGCCCCGACTGGAAGCTGTTCATCATTCCTGGCCCTTTGTCCCCCATGGCAGGGGATGGGTTGCCCAAAAGCTGAGGGAACTGCCTGGAAACTGTCCTGCGGATTCTGAGTGGAATTCTGTCCAGTGAATAACACCAGGTTGTTCAGCAGGGAAAATAACGATGTTTTCTGTGCAGCAGAGTTCCTGACAAAGGATCTGTCTGTCTGTTTGTCCATCCTGCAGCTGCTTCTCCAGCTCAGCATCGAGCTGGTCAGAGCACAGGGTGGGAACACGCCCAGGAGTCAGAGCAGTGATGTTCCCATCAATGATCTGTGTCCATTCCTTTGGCTCCTGGATGCAGACAGGCTCTCAGGAGAGGCTTGCTCTGTCTGTGGACATTTTTGGTTATTTGGGATTTGACTCCAGTTTTGGTGAATAAACAAATTAAGCTGCTTCAGCAAACCCATTTATTGATTTATTTGTTTAAACATGTGTATTTTACAGTGATGCCATGGAGAGAACACCACAACAGGGTGATTTGGTGGGCGGAAAGAGAACGTTCATGTGCGTGTGAGTTGAGGTGACATCACCTTGCTAAGGACATCTCAGCTTGGACTGGGGAGCTCAGCATGCAGTTCATGTTGGTCAAAGGCATAATGTTCCTAAATTCATAACTAAACCTGCTCTCTGGGAGTGGGAATAAGCACAGTTCTTGAGCTGATTCAAAAAATTAAAAAAAATTGATTTATTTCTTATATTTTTTTCTCCTAATTGTTCTAAACCAATTTAATTTTAAAATTACCATACTGAAAAATCTTGGATATTCTTAATATGCATATTAAACTTCCTGTTGCCTTTGTCCCTTTTTCTTCCCATTTTGCTACGAAAAAGGAAGAAAGAAGGGAAGAGGCTACAAGCAAAAGAAGTTTGACAGTTTTTCTAAAAATCTCTAGAGTTCTCTAAAATAGGTTCTGTTCGTTTATTATACGCAGTTTAGTTTTGAAATAGTTGTGCTAATAGTGCCAGGAGTTACTGCAGGGAATCGAGTCATGAAGAGAGCCTCGTGTAGAAACCCTTCCTTGGGCACTCTCTCTGTTCCCTAATCCTTGCTGAGGGCTGGGTGGGCAGCAGGAGGGAGGCACAGCGAGGGAGGGAGCTCAGCTGCACCAGCGGGGCACTGCTGGGTGCTGCTGAAAGCGGAAGGGAAAATGGTTCTGCTCACGTGCAACACCGTGGCACAAACAAAATACTTCTCTCACAGGCTAGAAAATAGAATGAGATCGGATCTTTCAGCTGGGAGGCTTTCAGGAATCGGCTGAACATGATCCATAAACAACTCAAAGCGTGACTTTTAAGAACCTCTTTCTCT